GTGCTCTCTTCCACATTTTTGCTAAGTTGTCTCACGGAAAAGATCACGTGGGCAAAGGGGGGATGTGCACTGCTATAAATGAGCATGCTGAGATATTGTGCTAACCTCTCCCCCTCACTGTCAGCACTGCACTGGGCAGGTAAAAGCGGCGCTTCCATCCCCGGCTACTGCAGTCCAGCACCACCTGAAACCAGGAGACTGGGTCCTCATTAAGGATCACTGGAGGAAGCACTGGAAGCAGAGACGCTACACGGGGCCCTTCCAAGTACCCCTGACCACGGAGACGGCAGTAAGGTGGAAGGGAAAGCAACGTGGGTCCACGCCAGCCACTGCAAACGCATCCCGGATCCAGGAGGCGAAGGAGCACCTACATCTGGTTCCGGTTAAGGGGTTGCAGAGTGGAGAGCCCTCCCCCACTGCAGGGTTCCAGGACACCAACGAGCCCGGTAGAGACGGCAGAGACGGCAGAGACGGCAGAGACGGCAGGGACGGCAGCCACCCGGAGAACAGCGATAAAAGACAGATCTCCAGCGCCAAAGAACACTCAGGAAGCATGGTTGGAGCCTGAGAATGAACATGTGCATATCACTGAAGCTGGCCACATTTGTGCTGATTCCCCTCACGATCAATGAACTACAACCTCCTTATGTGAACATCACGGATTCCAGCCTTCTCCACCTCTTCAATAGAGAATTTCAGGAAGTTTCCACTGTCCAGCAAAACAATGCGACGAGACAGACTGTTTGCTCTACACAATCGAACATGATGCATGGGTTAAAATAGAAAGTCACGTAAATGAAATTGTGTGTGTTGCCGGGTTGGGAGAAGAATATGTACTGTGTGGGTGCACGGAAGATTTGGTTTAGGAGATCCACCATTCTGGTGCAGTAAACCACGATCGTGTCAGGAGATACCAGCCCACACTGGCTCCAGCAACTGGAGGGAGACGTGCCAAAGAACTTACCGGCCTGTCAGCGAGACACAGCCTAAAACAGTACCACCTGAAATCATTTACGAGGCTGTTAAACCACAGGCCCTGACCTCCCGCAGGCCAGAACAGCCCCCACCAAAGCAACTTGGAGGCGAGGGTTGATCTCTCTCAATTGTCCGAGAGGGGGGACTGAGAAGGAGGGTTGTAAAGTTTACATGTCACGGCTGAGCTCGCCGCACTTAGGTCGCTGGTCAGTCCTGGACTCGGAGGATTTTAGGACTCAGACAAACGACACTTGCACGGTGACTCTAAGCCCTAAATATGACACGAGTGGGGAATACCGTTCTGGTGCGCTCAACCTGCAGACTGTACAACAGAACCAGCCCATTTCACTCGGCTAGATTGGCAGTATGCGTGCAAGTAAGCCTAACGTTAAGAACTTCCAAACCGTACACCACCGTACAAGCATGATAATATTGCGTTGACTATTATGAAGGATTTTGCTAACAAAAGGAATGTCTAATTGTTGGATATGTCAGCATATGCCCATTTCATCTAGAGCACCTATGCTGGTTCCTGTTTCATTCACGGAAGCCGACTGGGATGTCATGGGGTGGCCTGAGCTATCTCATCGATTTGTGAGTAATGATGAAGACTGTTACACTCCTCCACCGCACACGGCGACAACAGCGCAAAGCACAGTTGCCTATGAAGGTGAAAAGGGGGAAGTTGTACGTTTTGCAGTTAAGCGGTTCAATCATGAAAATAGACCTATAGATATTAATTAATTAATTATAGGTATTAATTTAATAATATTAAAGTGATGTTGGTTAGATTCCGGTCCATCCCTTAACCAACGTTATCACTTCCTAGGTAGTTCCTCTCTAGGTACGAGTGACTGTAGTAAATTACATCAAACACATGGTACTACAAAATAGGATGGCTCTGGACCTCGTTGTGGCTGCACAAGGCTTGGTATGCAAAGCGATTCATACTGTATGTTGCGCTTACATCTCCGATGCAACATCATCAGTTTATGATGTGGTGGCAGACACAGAACGGGGCAGTAAGGAATTGCACGACCACGACTGGAATCCGTTTGGGGAAATACAGGCATTTGTTGGATCATAGGGACCTTCTCTCTTCAAGGAACTGCTATGGGAATTAGGGGGCATCAATCTGTCTGTAATTGTTATAACCCTAATTGTAACTGTTTTAAAGCTCTTGTAAGGAAGGTTGTTAGCACTCATGTATCAGTTGAACACACAAGTACTACTATACGGTGTCCGGTTCAGAAATGGACTCCATATCCATACACCATATCTGGATAGCTCTGACAGTGATGATGAGTGTGAGGATTGTGTGTAACTAGACAGCATGTATGGTGTTAATGTTTAGCAAGAGTTTTCAAAGTACTTAGAAGTTAATGATGTGATGTTCTGAATCTTCGTGAATTTACACCACTGATGTATGCTCTAAGAGTTTTTTTTGTTGTTTAATTTTCTTTCTTAATTTCGTTTTGGTTGTTGTTTAGAGTTTCTTAAGTTGATTCCTGATTGTCAAAAAATGACAAAAAGAGAGGGATGTTGGGGGAAAATTGTTGAGCCTGCGTGGGGTGAGGCTCTCAGGAATGTGACCTTTGATGTGAGCCGGTGACTTAAGGCAGTCCAGGGTGAGATAAGACACAGATGAAAACATACGTGCCCTGACTGACCTTTTAGATGTTGTTGATTGTCTGGGTCCATAAAGGGAGGGTCACAGGGTCACCCCTACATCATCTGCTACTTTTCCCACATTCCTCTTGAGGGGTGGGCTGTCCTGAGGCAGCACAAACCCCCCTAAGTGTATAAAACCTCCTGTTCTCCTCTTTGACTTTGTCAGATCTTCCTGCTCCTTTTGGGGGAAGGAACATCTGTCCCTTTTCAGCTGAATTGTAGTCACTTGACTCCTGTCTGTGCTTACGACTTGTGCTGATGATTTCTATATTCTTTATCTTTTGCCTTTACTCTAGTTAGTAATAAATACTTAATCACAAAGCAAGCTCAAGATACTTTTGATTTCTCACATGGGCGAAATCCACAAATTTCCACCACAGCCTCCACCAGTGAACTCGAGAACAATGGTTCCTACAGGTATTTATAACAATGCTTAAAGGTGTGAAAGTCAGTGTCCACACCTCTGGGAGTGGTCTTCTGGTGAGTTCAATGTAACTCGGATTTCGAATGATCCTTAGTCAATATCAGTTGTTGTGCAAGTATTACATGCATGCATTCCAGTTGATTACATTACATCAAATACAATCATAACTGCATTGGTATTATTCTATTACAGTTGCAGATTTACAGTGGTTTTACAATATTGTCATTACTTTATTGATTACACAGTTTCAGAATCATGGCTGTATTCTGGTGTACACTATATGTATTTTTATTAATTTTATGAACCGGGTCGTATATTTGTTTCTAATATCCTACAGTACAGTCTTGAAGCCCATGGTACAGTAGTGAGCACTTTGAAACAATAAGGCCAAAATGTGGTTGAACAGAGCTTTCCCAGCAGAGCAGGTACATGACATGCATTTCAGGACCACAGGAACCTCTTTAGCATGAAATGTAACCTGTTAAAAGAAACATGAAAATAAGTCTCCGGCTCAACAATTTTACATTTCATTGGAGTAATTGAACAAACCTGTAAACCAGGTCTATGAACTTTGAACACCTAATTTATTTTAACATCACACAGCATATTTCTCAGCCTTTATTGTCCTCAAAAAACCCTCTTCTGTTTTTAAATGTCTGTCTAAATGTTCTGCGTTGTTTCTGATATTGATGATAAATTATGTCTTTTGAGTCCAATAATAAATAAATATTTATTTATAGATATTATAAAACCTTAAAAAACTGAATTACAAAAACATTAATAAACAGAGTAAAATTATATTTGTTATATATATATATATATAGTTCTGTTCTGTTCTGTTACTAAATTAAATGTTATTGTCTAAGGTCCAAACGACCCCAAAGACCATGAGCGTCACTATTTGTCACGCCTACATAAAAACAGATAACAATCCATTAAATCTATTTTTTTTTGTAGATCTAGAAATTGTTTATTGTTTAATATAAATTTTTATTTGACCAAAGGTCGTTGATGGGTCCAATGAACCCCGAAGACCAACACAGGGCGTAAGGTTGTCATCTAGATTTTGGCACCTCACATTTATTGACATCAGGCTAAGAAACACACTGAACCACAATGGAACTTTGTGGGATACAGCAAAGTTTCTGCAACTGCAGCAGAACATGAAAATCAGAAAAAACCTTAAGGTGATGAGCCTCCTCATTTTTCCTCATGGACCTGTGACAACGCCCTCTCACTGTCACCTCATCGACAACTACATTCGAAACTATTCCAATGCAATGTTTTGGTGAAAGGGCACAACATTAACCATGAATGCGTTACTTACTTTTATCTAACGTTAACAATACAAAATATAGCTAATATCAGTAATAAACATAACTGCAACAAGAGTTTTTCAGGTCTGTGTTACAGTAAATTAATCAAGAATATGGACTTTCACTGCAGAAGAAAAAGCTAACAACTAACAAGGACACAATTCAAACCTGAAAAACAATAGTTTTATTCATATAGGAACCCATGTATTTATTAGATGATTTATTGGTTCAACTTTTCATAATCATGTTCAACCCACAGAGACTGGGCCAAACTATACTGGTAGGCTATTCGATACATTTGCACTATAGGTTTTCAACAGCAGAGGTCACCATAGAGTTTGCGATGCATAGAATGAATGCACCTTTCTCCGATACAATTGGCTGGAAAGCTTCACTGGTTCAGAAAGCTTCACTTTGCCATCACTACTATTCTCGTATCAGAAGCTCTAGTCTGATTCGTTTCCTCCTGATAACAGCATCCAATCGAAGAACCTTTTATTAAGTTGTCCTTGCGTTCCCGCAAGAATAGACTCGGGAGACGAGATTCCAAGGTAACGGATACGGGAGCACGGTCATTTCCGCATCCGGAACAGCAGCTGACGTAATCATAGACATAATATACATAGACGCCGCATTGGCTTCTGGTCGCGAGAAATACGGCCGCCATCTTGGAGCGGTCGTACTCGTAGTTGCGTAGCAGCAGAAGATACAGGATGCCACAGCACTGTGCTGCTTATTTCTGCGCTAATCGGCGGACCATCGCCAGCAGGGCTCGGGGGATAACCTTTCACAAGTCAGATTTAATATTACCGTCCTATTTGTTGTGTTTTGTGAAAAGAATATTACCAGAGAGTAGAGAAGGAGCAAGTATCTTACTGTAGTGAAATCGCAGTCAGCTAGCTTGGCTATGTTTACTTCCCCGGCTGTTTTTCACCTGATTATGAACTGAGACTTGATAAGTCATATTCCATAACACTTAGATTCAAACGGACACAATAATGTTATTGTAGAAATATAACCTATCACTGGTATAACATTGGCCACACAACTTTCTTGTCATGTGGAATTAACGCATCTTAAAGTAGCTTGCTATGTAGTGAACTAGCTGCTGTGTTTGTGATACTTAGCTTGCTGCATTTCACTGTGTAATAGCTTTTGTGTAGTGAAGCTTTATTCATGGCAGAGTAACTGATCGCTTAGCTGAGTTCAATGTGAAAGCAACTTGCCAACACAGTGTATTATTCACATGTAATTTAACAAAAGTAAGATACCTCTCGTATCTCATACCCATCCCACTTACTTAAAATAAAGGCAACAGAACATCTGACCTTAGAATGGTTTGCAAACAATCTTATTTACAATTTCAGCAACTTTGGTTCATCATCATCAATATTCATCAACATAGGCGTTTTGTTTAAGAAAGGTTATAAGAAATGTGAAGAAAGAAAATAAGCTTGAACTTCTTTGTGAAATGTTTTTGTGTAGACTCTCCCAAATCTTCCGTTTTCATTTTGAAGGTTTCCAAAGGACAAACATGTGAGGAAGAAGTGGGAAGTGGCTTTTAGGAGAGATGGATTTACAGCAAGTGATTTGCTGTGAACACTTCAAGCAGAGTGATTTTGATAAGACGGGTCAGATTGTCCGACTCTGGGATGGTGTTAATTCACTTTACTGCTTTGAATGAACAACATCACATGGTGCTTTCCTAGGGTGTCTTGTTTCGCCATGATCAGATCAATAAAAGATCTTTCTTTTGCAGGTCCTTGTCAGTCATCGGATTTGTCATAAATCTCGACACGTTGATGCTGATGATTCCTGAACTGCTCCAAGTTCAGCAGTATGTGCTCACCTACAGGTCAGAGCATCAGGTAGGGTTGGTGCTCTTTTGATTACAATACACACAAAATAAATGTGTTATGTTTTGTGAGTAATGTATGTATTGTGTGTCTGTTTTTCGTAAGGGGGCTGGAATAACAATCCAACGACACGCCAGTTCCAGGCAATCTTCCGCCGTCTGATGGTTCGGTGTGGTGTTTCACCTGGTGAGACAGGCAATGTAGCAGCCCAAGACGACACTGTGTCCCTGTCTGCTGTGGAGATGTCCTCTGCTGGAACTGCAGAAGAACACCCATCTCCATTCGCCAACATTTCAGCCCTCGTGTGTGACCACAGTCTCCCCACTCGGTTTGGTGGTCTGGTGGAAAATGCTCTGGTCTACATAGCAGGGTTTGTAATCCGGCAGATTTTTCGAAAGCTGTCCTGTGAGGTGTGCCGTGCGAGCTTGGTCAGAGATGCTGTACCAGCTTCATTTGACAAGAGCTACCACCTTCTAGCCCTGAAAAACCACGGCGGCCTAGTAATTCCATCACAAGGCACAGTAAAGGTTTGATTTATCTTATTTTTTAAAAATATTTTAATCTTTGTATATTACGGTTGCTTTGTTTTGTCTGTTATGTAAAGGGTTATGTAAAAAATCTCAATGGATCAGATCAGAGTTCTTTTACAGTCAAACATCTTTCTAAAGCAGATGAAGAGGAGCAGCTGTAGTTTGCTGTGCTGCTGAACTTTACTGGATTACACTGACAGGTGTACATCCAATTTGTATTCATATTGGATGGAAGAAACACATAAAACGTTTCTGAGGTGAACATTTAATTCAGGGCTGTGGTTAAAATACACTGTATTAGCTTTATAATGGTTTCCTCTTCATAAGAGAGGTTGGATACAGTAACAATTAATAGTTAATATTTAGGTTATGTCAATATTATATATTTAATAAGTTAATATTTTATTGTATAGGACTACATTCCAAATACACAGAACCGTTTGTCTTCCTGTTTCTCAAACATCAAGATGCTGATAATCAGTGTGGTGGTCCTCGTCCAGGTTAAATGCACAAACATTACTATGAATTAAATTGAAGATGCCCCTGAACCGCTTCTGTGTCTCTCTATTAATAGTGATTAACCTCATAGTATTTCATGTACATAATAGTGATCAATGAGGCTGCATACCTTAAGAGGAGATATTAGTGCTTAACATAGCATTTAATATCTATGAAACAGTGATCATAGAGGCTAAAAGGACACATTCACATTGATTTATTATTCTGTATGTATTATAAATTGAACACAACACTATACATATAATGCTTTTCCTAATTTAAAACAATAGAAAAATGAATTGTATTTCAGGGAAATAAACTATGTAATTAAAAGTGCAGAAACCACATGGACAAGTTGGTTTAGAATTCTTTGTTTGTAGCCCAATCTTCTGAATCATTGGAAGGTCATTTTCAGATTCTGTAACAAGATCAGTCTCCAAGCCACTGGAATTGGGAGAGTATACCTGAAATCAGCTGCATCTCCCTCATCCTCAGTCAGAATGCGCAGAGCACCCCTCAGTTGCAGATTCCACGGGTCAACGTGTTTATTCAATTCAAATCATGTTGTTTTGTTCAGCTTTACAATCTGTAAACATGCAACATCCTAATCCACCCCAGCACATAGTGACATGTGGTAATCGATCCCAGGTCCCCCACGGTTAGGGTGCAATGCCTAAGCACTGGTCTAACAACACAGTCTTACAGCTTGAGAGTAAACAGGGCTTAAGCGAGCCTGACACTACATTTTAATCAACAATTAATTGCAGCGCCCCCTATTCTTCAAATATTCCGAAAAAATTAGGGTCTGTTCAGGGGTTCAATATTCACATGTGTTACAAGTTTGGTGAGGGCAGGCCAAACCATTTGGAAGTCACGAGTCTTGCCAGATTAAGCCACACCCCTTGCGAAGTTCATTAGCCCAGCGGTTCCCAAACTCAAGAATTCCGTGGCCCACTTTGAAATCTGAAAATATTTCGCGGCCCACCCAAACCTTTAATCACAACTCTGATCAAAACATAAACTAGGGATGATTAAATTAGTCTGTCTCGCGCAAGCAAAAGTTAGTCTCCGCGAGGTATTTGCTCGCTTGCAAAACGTGAGCTTCGTTGCTCGCGAGGAGAATCTCTGCTCGCGCTTGAAGGAGTTTTCTACGCGCTCGCTGTTGTTCTTTTTGACAGTAAGGTGGAGACGGTGCTTTCAGGGTCTGATCAATGCCGTGAGGTGCGTCCGCTCCCGCCGCCCCCCTCGCCATCCACGCCTTAAATCTTTTTTAGGCTCCTTTTAGAATAACTTATTTTCCCCGTTAAGATGGTTCAGCTACTGTAGAGAAAAGGGCACCGTCTCTCGCTCTTTAATCTCATGAAGTGCTCGGCGAGAACGACTGCTTTGTTTCTCAGACGTGCCCAGAAACAAGCTTCGTATCTCACGCCCTGAGTGCCGCTGAGCATCTCGCCATCATTGACGAGCTTTGGCATGTTTGGCAGAGCACCTTGAGCGCTGTGTACAACCAGTATGGATCAACCGATTAACCAATTGATTCATATATATAAGGCGCTCCGGATTATAAGGCACTGTCGTTTTTTGAGAAAATTATAGCCTTTTAAGTGCGCATTGTAAGTGCGGAAAATTCGGTATATTGACTTTAATACCACAAGAGGGCGCCCCGTTTGTTGAACAACGACAGGCGGACAAGAGCAGCCGTTTCGAGCGAGAGCCTTATTGTTTTATTAATCTGTTCGTTTAAATTGTTTGTGCTTCATCAATTAATGTTTCACATAACTAATGTGCCGCATCATACATATTTTTATATTAATTTCAAACTTTTAAAAATTGAAAATTAAAAAACTTTATTTTTTTATTGTAAATGACCTCTCGCGGCCCAGCTGCAGTACCTTCGCGGCCCACACTTTGGGAATCGCTGCATTAGCCCATAACTTCTCAAAACAGTGAGATATCAACACGATCCTAATTGGGGACATGGGGCCATTGACCCAATAAGGATCCACAGAAAATCTTGTGACAATCGGACATAGCGTTCAGGAGAAATGGCCAAAAACTTTGGCGGAAACAAAATGGCGGAAAATCTAGTTAGGCGCATTTGCATACCGTGATTGACTTTTTTGTAGAGCATGTCCAAGAGCACATGTGTGCCAAATTTCAAGTCAATCGGGCATCGGGGGAAAAACTGGTCTAGTGTGGTATTAGGGGGCGCTATGGAGACTTTTCTTAGTCTATTGTCTTATTCAGATAATAGCACACGATTCCCGATTTGTACCGACAGTTTGAGACTATTTTGAGCCAATTCCGACCAACGTGCGGGAGGAGATGCGTGCCAAACTTTAGTACGGAAGAGAATAAGGCAAACTAGAAAAGGCATTTCCTGCTGAAAATGCATTGGAATGCAAAAAGCTGAAAGCTGAAATGAACTTCAGAAAATTGCTAAAATTACAGAAAGTTGAAGGGAATTTTAATACATTTGCTGAAATTACAGGTATTAGAAAAGCTGAAATTAATTTGAAATTGCTGAAAATACAGAAATGGGAGAAGCTGAAAGGAATTTCAATAGATTTTCTGAAAAAGCATAAATGAAAACAGCTGAAATAAATGTGAAATATTGCAAAAAAATACAGAAATGAATATTAAAACATTGCTGTTAATACAGGCATAAGAAAAGCTGAAATTATTTGAAAGAACTGCTGAAAATACAGAAATGTGAAGCTAAATTTCAATAGAATTTCTAAAAAATACAGAAGTTGCAGGAGCTTAAATGAATTTAAAAATGACAGAAATTGTTTGTAGCTGTAATACTAATACTATAAGCATAGTAGTATTTGTAATAACATTAGTAGTAGTTGTAGTATTAATAGCAGTAGAAATACTAGTGTTATGGTAGTAGAGGTATCAGTTGTAGTACTAGAAGTACTAGTAATATTTGTAGTGGTTGTGGTAGTATTTGAAAGAGCAATACATATTTCAACGAAACCGCTTCATTCTGAGCTTCATGGTTAATGTACAGATAATCATTGAGGCTTTTATTTTGCAATACTGGAATTGGGTGAGGGGGGGTTGGGAGACTGAATGTTTGTTATTCAAACTAAGAAGTTTTTAATTAATAGGCCTCATCATAAACATTACAGTAAGAATTGGGTGTGGGGTGGGGGGGGGGTGTAGATAGAGAGAGGGAGGGTGAGAGGGTGAGGAAGGGAGGGGTGGTGAGGAAGAGATAGAGGGAGAGAGAGGAGGAGAAATAGACAGACTGAGTGAGTGAGTGAGTGATTAACAGTGAGAAGAGGTCAGGGTGGAGGTGGGGTGAGTGTCTATCATATTAGGCTGTTGACAGAAAGCATAGCTGCGTCATGTGACTCCACTAATCAGGTCATAGGAGCACCGGTGAGTCACAGACAGAGATACTGCAGCGGGTGTGCGAGTAACCACGGCAACGGCGCACCTATTGTATTGGGTGGGGTGGGAGGGTGTAGATAGAGGGAGGGAGGGTGAGGAAGGGAGGGGTGGTGAGGAAGAGATAGAGAGGGAGAGGGGAGGAGAATTAGACAGACATACAGACTGACTGACTGAGTGAGTGATTAACAGTGAGAAGAGGTCAGGGGGGAGGGGGGGCGAGTGTCTTTATCATGTTGGTCTGTTGACAGAAAGCATAGCTGCGTCATGTGACTCCACTAATCAGGTCATAGGAGCAGCTTTGAGTCACAGACAGAGATACTGCAGCATGTGTGTGCGAGTAACCACGGCAACGGCGCACCTGGGCTCATTAACGAGCTGCTGCAAAGGGCAGACACAGGACAGCGAGTTACATAGAATCCACACCTCAAACAAATGACAACCAGCGCAAAACTATAACAGCTATCTAAAAAATATGGCGTTTGTGCGAGACCCAAGACTCTACCGAACGCAGGGAGGTGTTATTTATGTCTGTCCGGTAAAAAATACGGCTCTTGTCGAAGTTTACAAAACGTGTACCTTCTGGATTTTTTAGAAATATGTTGGCAGATTTGTATTGGAGCCTATGGGGCTTTTAGCAGAGGTTGTGTGACTGTTGGTCTCCGTATGCCAAAACTAAAGAACTCTGGGATTCTATGAACACATTAATCCAATCAGCACAACCATGCCCTCATTAATCTGAAGAAATGAAGCATCAAAAGTGTATACTTTGGCTGTAAGGACAGAAGTTCCATATTTTTCTAACCAGATTCTGACGCTGCCTCACACTCTAAGATCTCCTGGTCTCACTCTAGCAGACGCAATACACACTCGTGTAAAAGTCAGAAACGGAGCGAAGAACTAGTGAAACATAATCAGTGATTATGAAAAAAGTAGAATAGATATCAACAAGCAGTTTATTTCATAAAATAGTTGAGACCTGTGTCAACATTTGAAAGTTTAAATGGTGTCTGTAGCTGAAAGATTGGCGGCGCTGAAGAGTCTGAAAGTTGAAGAAGTTTAAGAGGATTTGAAAACAATCTCCATTGGAAAACCATGTTAAAATATTAATGATTATTGATTTATATAAATTCAAGCATAAGAGGTAGAAAGCTGAAAAGCTATAACCCTAAAGCCAGAAAGGAGCTGAAGATTTTAATATTTTAACGGTTTTAATAGCTGAAAGTGTGAAGGAGTTGAAAGGTGCCACGGAAGAAATAGAATAGGTAGAAATAAAGAATAGAAGAACAATACTTGGAATGCTTAATGCATGCCATGAAAATATTGAAATTGCCAATGGCTTTGCTGAAAAAGTGTTAATGCCAAAAAGTCAAGACCAGCACACCAGAAAAACATCATATTTGAGCATTCAGGGAGTAATATTAGCAGTATTAGTATCAAGAGCTGCAGTAGTAGCAGTCGTAGTAGCATCATAGTGACTGTAGCAGCAGCAGGTGTAGTTGTAAAAATCAGTAGTAGTCTCAGTGTTGTATCGAGTATAAAGCAGACAGTGACCTCATGACAAACATTTTATTTGTTTACATTTAGAATACAATTTTGTGAATCAACAATTTAAAAATAATTAAAACAGTAATTAGTAATATCATGTCAA